GCGAATCATTCGTGATCCAGCTTCACTTTCAGCAGAAGTGAGTATAAGGGTTTTTTATGAATCTTTGCAATCGCCGTTCCTAATAATGTGCTAGTTAGCAAGTTTCGCGGCTAAAGTAAACAGTCTCTCAGAGCACAGTTCGTCACCCCACAGAAGAGAGGGGCGGGGTCAGCAGAGCTCATTAGCATTTAAAGCAACATGCAAAAAACGAGTTGATTTCTGCAGAGCTGAGTTTGACAAGGTAAAAAGGATGTTTTTTACACTACCATCGAGAAATTTTATCCAAAGTATGTTATAGACTTTTCATTAAGACCCTAAAGAATCATATCAACTTGTAGAAAATGGGCATCCGATGACCCCTTTAAATATAATATTCCAGCAAGTCTGCTTGATCAGTTACCAAAGAAGAATGTTAAAATTATTCAAGAAAATACCATTTTCTTATCAAAGTGATAAAATGTTGTGTTGCAAAAATGAGTACACCCTCCTGAAAGTTACTAAATAAAACTAAAAAAAAAAATTATGGTGTAAGGTTAAGGCAAGTATTGATCAACCGGTAAGTATGTTGAACCAAAACTGTTAAAGGTAAGTAATTTCTTGATAATTAAGTGTTATATGGCCCACTGAATCATACTCAGACTTAATGCTGACAACAATGAAACCACTTGAGAGAGAACTGTCAGGAGATTTATTTCTTAGCATAAAAGAGGACAATGGTACAAGAGGAATACCAAATTATTGGTTTAAGTGTGAAAATATAGCCAAAGTAACACAGAAATTCAAAAACAATGGACTTGTGAAAAGGCCCCTGAAATAATCAGGTCTTCACTTTAAGCTTTCATTTAGTGATGAGTGAGTTTTTGTTTATCCACACCAGAACTACCGACTGTAGCCAAAGCACCATAAACTCATTTAGCTTTTTCCAAGGCCCATATTTACAAAATATAGACTTCTGGGAATCCATACTCTGGTCTCATGAGACCAATTCAATCATTTCGGATCTAACAGCGTCCAAAATGTTCTGGTGTTGCTAGAGGAGGAGTACAGAGAGAAGTGCCTGGTTCCCACAGTGGCATTCAGTGGTAGTAAAGCTCTTCTATAGGGATGTATGAGTGCTGAAGGTGCGAGGGAGTTGTACTTTATCGACGCTGTCATGAATTCACACACCACTGTGTGATGTAATACATAAACCTGAAACTGAAGATGCTACCCTCCCCTCATTCCCTGCATTGTTGGGCATTTTTTTTTTAACATGACAATGAAGATATTCATTCTCCCAAGGTGAAAATCCTTCAGTGGACATGTATTTCACTCAATCTTAACACTCTTGAGCTGCTGTAAGAGATTCTGTAGAGACGAGCTGAGCAACACTCCCCATTAAAGACCAGGGCATTTAAGGAGGTCGTCCTCCAGGAGTTAAACAGCACAGATGTGAAAATCTGTCATGAACTTGTACACTCGGTGCCAAGAAGTGTCAGAGCAGTGTAGAGTTATGGAGGACATATTAAATTCTAGAATATTACACTTGGTTGAATTAAATCTAGGTTGTACTAAATTCTGCAATCCTTCATTTAAAAAAAATTGGCTAAATTTCTTATTTTACAGATATTAATGGCATGTATTTCTGTTTTTATTAAGAATGTTTAATACATTTCAATTTTGCCATCTTTCTATGAATTATATTAGTGATCATTAAGAAAATACATCTTTTATATTTAATCAGAGGGGGTGTACTCATTTATGCTGTGCACTGTATAGGGGAAAAAAAAAAAAAGAGTATTCAATAAATACATTTAATATATATGAATATAAATGATCTATCTATCTATAAATGAAATATATAAATTATTTTATATGTAAATGTGAAATAAAAATAAAACATCTTTACGCTCAATATAGTGCAGATATTTCACTTTTTACACCAAGCAATAAATGTGTATGTGTTTATTATATTATTACAACTTTGATTGCCATATATATATATATATAAATAAAATTGTAAGATATATCAGAAACATTAAATAGGCTTATATCAAATTGTAACATGAACTTTCAATGTCTGTAGAGCAATAAATACAACAATAAAAACAATTGTTAAACATTATTAGTATTATATACTAAAAGGGACTTTAATTCTTTAATCTATCTACTTAATAGCGTCAATATTTGAATCATGGTTGTGATTATTTACCTGTGTTGCACAGGAATTTCTTTTAAAATCTGTTCCAAACAGTGTTTTTGTGAGATTTTGTACATATAGATGATATCTTTACGTACCTTCTCCGTTGAACGTTGCCATGTGGATCAAGATGCCAACTGAGAGTCGACCCGTGAAGTATTTGACAACTTTAATTCGCGTTGTTGTTCTGTGTCCCCTTCATTTCGAACGGTTTTCAGCAGAGCTCACGGTTTTGCGACAGTGTGAGCCACTTGACGGTAAACATCATTTCATCACTGAAACGCGTTCAGCGCTGCTGTAGTGAAGAGCGCGCAGCAGCGCCTCACGCGTCAGGAGCGAGTATTTGGCCACAAACAAATAAACATTGCTACCAAAAACAGGTAAAGGTAGGTGTACATGTTCAATTAAAGCGCCTTTTTCATTTTCAAGCAACTTTTCCCCCAAAACAAGGATTTTTAGCCTTTGAATAATGGTTAAGAAAACAGTTACACGAACTTACAAGGTGTTTTCCCGGTAAATTATATTTCCTTGGCACTCAGTGTGTATTTCATTCTTCAGAAGTCCTCCATCACTTTTTAGATACCAGGGAAATTCACATTTAATACACGGAGAGTGTGATATGACAATTGAAGCTGCAAGTAAACTCATTTATAAGCAATAGGAACAATTTTTATTATTTGAGCTGCTGACCAAAACTCAAGTCATATAATGAACGTGGGCTTAAAGTGCATACTCTAAGCTTTAATGATCCCACATCATGCGGTCAAAGGATCTCTCCATACAAGTGAAACAGACAATTGTTAGGCTTTAAAAACAAAACAAATCCATCAGAGAGATAGCAGGAACATTAGGAGTGGCCAAATCAACAGTTTGGTACATTCTGAGTAAAAAAGAAAGCACTAGTGAGCTCAGCAACATAAAAAGGTCTAGACATCCACGGAGGACAACAGTGGTGGATGATCGGAGGATCCTCTCCATGGTAAAGAAAAACCCTTTCACAACATTCAGCCAAGTGAAGAACACTCTCCAGGAGGTAGACATGTCACTGTCAAAGTCTACAATCAAGAGAAGACTTGAAAAAGTCACAATTACTGCATGTAGAGTAAAATCCTGACCCCAAGGACATTTTTGAGAGCATAGGCTATTCAACAAAATTAAATTATACAAGACTGCATGCCTCTATGCATGCATCCGGTGTTTGTTCATCAAGAAAACAACTACATCAAAGATGTTATCATCTTGCAAAGTCTTACTGATATGGAGAGAGTCTCATCCTTATGATCAAAGGTCATCTTCCCTATGTATCCTCTCTGAGACAGCATTGAGTCAAAGTAGTACTTACAGCGTACAGAAAGATACCTGAAAACACACAGAAACACAACCTACATCATTATCATCAGTACCTTAAAATCTGCACTAAAATGGACAAGCCCTTTGATACGTCCCACTGTAACTTGTTGTTTTAAGGCAAGACACTACAGGCAAAACCACTGGTTTTTAGAATGCACTGGTCAATTCTGAGATTTTGGGCTTTTTGTAACATGTTGTTTCAGGCTAGTGGAAAGAAAACTTATTTTACTGCACTTTATCTTTGTGCATCTGATTTTTTTTTTCTGGCTGATGTAAAGTACAGTATTTTCTGATTTATGGAGTGATAAAACGATATCTAAAATCCCTGATGTAAAAAACTTTAACTCTGTCAACAAAATGAAACAAGAATTTTGAACCTGGCTTTATATAATGTTCAGATTCCTGTTATGGAAATGTTTATAATGTTAAATATTTAATTAAATAATGGCTTATTTGCATTTTTAAACATACCATTTCAAAAAACTTGTAATATAAAACACAATTCTTAATATAATCAATCAACTGGGGAAGTATGGTGACTTTTTTTTTTACCCTATTCGCTTGCGTTGTCCTTAATAGGGAATTTTTTTAATTCAGTAAAACTCGTACAGTGATTTTCCTTTGAGCGACTTAAAATATCAAAAGCAGACAAACAAAGGCTGTTTCATTTGTGACAATTGAATTGGTGGTCTGAAGTTCAGACACATTAAAACAATCTATTTGAAAACATTTTAAATCAGTCAGCGAGAATCAGACAAGAGCCTCTAATGAAACTTACATTCTCAGTTCAGCGTAGACGTTGTGTTTGGGCTTTATGATCTCAGTTAACTGGCAGATGATAGCCTCCAGACCCTTGACCTGTCGGTCTATGTTATTGAAGTTTTCCTTCGCCTCATGGAACTGCCTAGAAGATTCAATGACCAACAACTTCACCATTATAACATCATAACATATACACCCCACCTGCATGATAAACAATGTAGATGCGCTTCATAGAGGCAAGGGGAAAATACCTACATGGTACTGTGTCAGTACTTGGGCTGCCCTCGACTAAGGATTTTTTTGGTCGACTAGTAGTCGTTCATTTGAATCATTAGTCGACTAATCGCACGTTTATTAATAAACCATTTAAATCATTATAATTAGCCTTTAATTGCCTACAAAGCCTAATAAGCTCTCAAGTGCACGCATAAAGCGTGCCACAGTGCACCGCAGAAGCTATGATTATGAATGTGTCAGGGAAAAACAGTAAGGTGTTAAAAAGCTGCATGTTTATAAGAAACAAATCCATCATTATAGTGTTTCAACTTTATACCATTGCCTCCGGCTAAAATAGAGTCCATAATCCATAATAACACTTCCTCCAGTGGAATAAAGTCCATCTCCTTTTGGAATCTCACATGAAAATCTACCCACATATTTGTTTAGAATTGCTTTGGGCTGTTTTAGCTTGTAAATGCATATTTCTCTCTTGATTCAGACGAGGTGACTTTCCCTTGAGAAAGTAGTATGGACCCTTTTCACAAGACTGTGATGACATGTTTAACGGTCATCAGCATTCATAAATCCTCGAAAGTTTTTCATATTTGTATTTAAAAAAAAATGTATCTACATTTATAACTATTCTTTGTATTATATCACCTTTGCATCAAATGACAAAAAAACAGTTAACGCTAATGCGAGGGTGTTTCTAATGCAGCGTCTATGGGAGGGACGGTAAATTTGACATCTTTCTCTCTTCTGACTGCAGTTATCAGTCTCTCTCAATTTTTTTCCTTTTATTGAAATTCATGACAACACTATCGTGGAGTTTTTCTTTTGCTATTTGAGCAAATGGGAAGGCAAAAAATATATTTGTGGTACTCTCCCATTCACTACTATTCAAGTTAACCCAACTATGACGACTTCCGCTGCTGAGAAACCCAGAAATGTGAAAAAGGTCCATTATGGTAGAGCACTCGTTGATGTTAAAAAAACAATTATAGATTTTTTTTTTTTTAATTAAATAAAATTTTAAATTAACAGCTTTTCACTTCACAAGACATTAATTGATAGAACGAGTGGTGTGAATTACTTATGGATTATTGTGATGTTTTTATCAGCTGTTTGGACTCTCATTCTGACGGCACCCATTCACTGCAGAGGATCCATTGGTGATGTAATGTTAAATTTCTCTAAATCTTTTACAGTGAAGAAACAAACTCATCCACATCTTGGATGTACGGAAGGTGAGTAAATTTCAGCAAATTTTCATGTTTGGGTGAACTAATCCTGTATATGGTCTTAAAAATAGGTTTCTTTTTTCTTCACATTAAATCTTATTTCTTGTTTCTTTTTTTTGATTTTGGGGTGAAATACCACCCGGTCACATTTGTTTGACAGCTGGAGACTGTGTCTATGTACCTGACGATAGTGTCTCTGTGTCCTTGTTGGTCTTGCTGTGTGTTGATCTCGTGTCTGAGGCGGCTGAACTCGCTGTCCAAACTCTTCGCTGTTCTCCTCACATCCAAGCGCTCGGGGCAAATTTCTAAGGCTCTCGCTATGGAAGCCTGTCAAAAAATAGATTCAGTCAAACAAACGGAAATCTCTTTATATCTAATGGATCAGTGTAAGACATCAGTGTTTGGTCACCTGTAACAGCTGGTCCTTCTCATTCAAGTTCTTCTTTAGTGTCTCAATCATGTCCACATGGGCTTTCCGCTTCTCTTCATAGTGTTTTTTATGATGTTTACTCCTCTCCAACTCCTGATCACTGTTGCTCAATTGCTCCTACAAGCAATCACGTAAAAACAAAACTGTTTACTAGATTGCACACATTGATAATTAAGAATGTGTGCTGTTGTGGACTGTTCAGTAGTGAACTTGAAGCTCATGATCCTTATTTTAAAGCTTGACAGCCTGCTATTTTTAAACATTAGCAAAGATGAATTAGGACTCTGGTGGTTAAAAGCTGTCCACTGATGATGTTACACATAGGGCTGGGTGATATGAGCAAAAATTAATATCTCTGTATTTTTTGGCTGATTTGCAGTATACGGTATATATCTTGGTATTGTCTACACTTTTGTATTTGAACTAAACAAATAAAGTAAATGTTACAATGTAGGCATATATTATGTGCAAAAAAGGGTTAAAATCACATAACATTCTAACATTGTAACTGTGACGAGAGGGGCGGGGCCGAGAGCCGTGGGAACGGAGCGAGGCCGGTGGAGTAAATGCTAATGCACGACACCTGCACCACTCACCGGTCTCGAGTCTCACGGAGGAGCTCCGGAAGGATAAAAGGAGGAGTGACGACAGTGTTGGACGAGAGAGGACCAGGCCTGGAGTTTATTTTGTGTTTTGTGTGCAGCAGTCGTCCGCGAGGGGCTGCCGCTTTACTTTCATTTTGTGTTTGTTTATTTTATTAAAGTTTTGTTTAAATGTTTGCCGGTTCCCGCCTCCTTCTTCCCGACCTACAAACGTTGTTACAGTAACATTGCAATCTAAAGACAAAAATTTGTTTCAGAAGCTTCGCTAAAGATAGGCGCCTAGGCTATTTTTGACGGACGCCGCAACCAAGCCGCACAGCAAATACAAAATAAAAGTTAAAAAAATCATGTCGATTTTAAAATAAACACCCTGTGCAGACTCCCGATCGTATTTCATATCACTATATCCTTGCTCCCACAAATCCTTTTTACAAGGACAATTCAAAAAAGGAGTTTAATTGCAGGAGTAGTAGGAGTGGAATAAACAGAATTAAACCGGACAAAACAACATTTAGCCAACCATGTTAAAACAAACAAGCAAAAAAAAAAAAATCAAGAAAAACAACGTTGTACAGGCAAATCACGTGGTCTCGCGAATCCTGTCGCTTCGCTTCTGTAACGCTTCAGGTGTGAATTGGCACTGCGTGGAGGACGGAACAAAACCTCGCCAGAGCCGTAACGCGCCGCAGACTTGTGCAGGGTAAACAAGGGGTAAATGAAGTCTGTGAAGTTTAGCGGAGAATCACAAAGCAGAAGGCTCATGCACTTCTGACAGCAAAATGGAAATATTTCCTTGGCTGTCTAACATTTACAGATGGAGAATATACCTGTGAAATGTAAGTTATGTATTTAGGAAAACAGCACATCTCAAACTCATTAAACAGCGCGTCTCTGTCAGCGGCACACACAGCCTTTCTGTCAGAGCCGCTTTTAACTGAAACTATAAACTATAGGCTACTATATCTTACGAGTTTTTTTAAGCCCTTCATATAAAGATTGTCACATATTTAGAACAAATTGTATTATGCACTTTCTCTGCAGCAGTTCAGTCTGTGTCCTCCGCTATATTTTTTTCAGATGCGCTCGTATCAAACTACTGTATATCGATATTAGGGCTGTCACGATTATGAAATTTGGCTGACGATTAATTGTCTAAAAATAGTCACGTTATTGCGATTAATTGTCTGTTTTAGGGCTTTGGCGATTATGCCGATTATCACGATTAATTGTCTGGCTTTCATTATATAATTGTGATTAATTTAAGGGTTCAGTAAATAATTATTTAGATCAAATAATCACGATTAGACGGTTATTTAAGTATCGCGACAGGCCTAATCGATATTAACGGTACTGCCTCGACCCAGTACCGCCCAGCCCTAGTTACATACACTCTTGGCTTCTTCTCTAATCTTAATCGGCTCAGCTTCCTCTGCGATGCTGTTAAAAGCTTCCCTCTGCTGCCGGGAGAGCTGCTCAGCCTCCTCATATTCCCTCTTGTGTGTCAGCACCTGATTCCGCGCAGCTTCAAATTCCTCTCGACAAACACTTATTCGGCTGCTGAGCTCCTCCAGGCCCTCTTCCTGAACACAGAGCCATAATTAGACACAGAAACCCACCGAAACATTTATCTTTATAATGAGTGAATCTGTTTGTTACCAAAGGTTTCAAATCTTCTGAGTGAGGTTCCTCAACACTTTGCAATTCTGTCAGCTCTGCTTGAAGTTTCCGACAGCATTCCTGTTAGTCAAAATAAACAAAAAATACATATTAGAACATATTTGGTTAAAATGCTATGATGTGGTCTGTGCACGGCAGGTATTTAATGACCTGGGCTTTCCTGTGGTCTTCATAGGCACTGCGAAGAACAAAGAAAAAAAAAAAGGTTTTATCTTTCTTGGTTGTTGATCAGATTAATAGAAAACTGTCCACATGAATATGAATTCTAAATCCAAGCCAACATCAAAATTAATGAAAAACATCCAAATAAAATAACAACAAAAATATGGGGGTACAAAAAAGGTAATGACAAGGTCTCAGTGCAGATGGGAGGCTGGACAATGCACAATTAAATGATCATGTTGAATGTTGGTTTGACATGTTGAATTAGTGTTGGCTTGACAAAGAAGATACAGTTTAAAAATTTCAACTGTTACCATTCAAAAGTTAAAGGGGTGGTTGACTGCTTTTTTTTTCTTTTCTAGGCTTGATTGTGTTTATGGGGTGCAGTCTAACATGAGTTAATGCTTTGTTTAAAAAAAAACGTATTATGTTTCACATAATTTACTTTTATTCTACACCGCTGTCCCTTCTCCTATGAACGCTCTGATCATTTCCTGGTTTTATGAAGCCCTTCCCTCAGAAATGGGCTCAGATTGGTTAGCTTGCTCAGTGTGTTGTGATTGGCTAAATCGCCTAGTGTGTGTCTAAACGTCACGCCCCCTCAGCTCAGAGGCACGTGCTCCGGTTATATTGTAAACAATGGCGTCGTCAATATTGCTTATCAATTTGAGCCCGAATGAGACCCAGAGAATATTAGTGAAGAGGATCGCGCAGAACCTGTGCAAGCACGGCTCTTACAGGACGTTTCAGAATAGTAGTTTTTTTTGTTTGTTGTTGTCTCGTACTTTTAGATACGCTGTTACTTGTAAATGCTACTGCTTATGTTAGCTTTTAATATACGGTTTTATCCTGATTAAAGCTTTAATAGAGCAGAATACATGATTGCGTTGTAGCATTTTTGTAAATCGTTTATTTTGTAACAGTAAGAAGTGTTTGACACCAAGTATTGCTCGCTACCACGGCAACCGCACGTAGACGCGACCCCCCATCTAAATAATAGGGAATCTACCTATACATATCTATGGTTGTACTTGCATGAATGGTCATGTGACATGCGTTTTCGGTTGTGTAGTGTGGACGGAGATCGTTTCTGAAACGCAGTGAAACCAGTGTAGACGAGGATTGTTTTCATTTTAAAACGAAAACACACTAGTGTAAACAGTAGGCTTGCCGCGATAGACGGTGTTGACGGTGATACCGGTGTTAAGCCGCAACACCGGTTACATCACTTGCTCACCGCGTCACCGACCCCCACCGTCGTTTTGATTTTTTATAGTAATAAAAATCATTTAGTTCAGTAAAAGAACAGACACTACAATTAAAAACTGAATGCGGCTGCTCAATGCAGCGTGCCGAACGACAGTCGCATCACAGATCAGATTTATGGGCACATCGCTTTTACAAGCTATTTAAAAGCGAAGGAAAGCGAGGAAAAGAGGGAATGACCTGCCCCCGCGGTGATACCGGCATTACCGGTGTTGTCACACGCCGATTAACCGGTGGGAAAATTTCCTCACCGACACAACCCTAGTAAACAGGGCCTAAAGCACAACATGGCCTCTCCCCTTTGTTGCATGTTCCCGGGGGCGGGGTTTATGTAAATTTCAGGGTTTGTGATGTCACCAACCTGGGAAGAAGCTCGTTGTAGTCCCTATCAGCCGTAACTGTAGACATTAAACTGCCATAATTTTAAAAGACAATATCTCCGTTTGCATTGAACTTTCAGTGTTGTAACTTTGCAGATATTGCTTATGCTCAAACAGCAACATTACACACTAACTAAAGTTAAAAAAGTGAAATAACCGTCAACCACCCCTTTAAATAAAGAGTCTCTTAAGTTTACCAAGACTGCATTTATTTGATGAAAATTTTTTTAAATAACTGTTTTCTCTTTTAATAAATTATGCTGATGCACAAGATACATATATTATTATTATCAACATTGAAAACAGTTGTAATGCTTCATATTTTTGTGGAAGCCATGATTCATTTTATTCCCAGGATTCTTTGATAAATACATTAAATTTAAAATGTAAATTAAATTTATTTGAAATTGCAATGTTGTAAGATTATGAATGATTTTATCATCACTTTTTGAGCAATGTAATTTGCCCTTGCCGAATAAAAATACTAAATTCTTTAGGAAAAAAAATGGTGCTGCTAAGGTGATCTAAATTGTTGCTAGATGGCTACTAGGTTGATCTGGGTAGTTGATACAAGTTAACTAGTAACAGATTCTAATGTTACTGATAAGATGTATCACACTCAGACATACCATCAGACCATCAGTTTATAATTGTGTGTTGCAGTTCTGTCATATCCTGCTTTAAATGCTTGATTTTTTTTAAGTTGGCTGGATTTTGATTAGCTGTCAATGTTTTTATCATTCATGAGCTGGAAATAATCATTCTGAAAGTGATTCCAATGATATGATTCTTCTGTCGCCTCAAGTAGTCTGTTGTTTTTCCATCAGATCCGTTTATTTATGACTGTAAAACAAGGTGGTGTTGCCACTTAGCTAGGCCCCATGCTTTAGGTCAAAATATGTTGCATGTAGAAATTTCGGTCCCAAGTTAAGGATTTAGAAAAAAAACTAAAGACCTAAATTGTGGTAACTAATGGGCCGTTCGCAAAGAGCTTGATTGACAGGTGATCTGACCAATCAGAACGTGGATATTATGTGTCGCCGTTGCTATCCGCCATCTTGTCCGACAGCTATGGCCGGTCTCCATAGAAATCCATGTTAAAACAGGGTAAAAAAGATAGACTGAATTGAAACTTTTTCAGTATAACTAAACATAAAAATGTGCGCAGGGTTAAGCTGTGCTGTTTTTGGCTGCCACAGTAACGGCAATAAGCTAAAGGAATTCCTTTAAAGTACTTGTTTTGCTTACCAGATTTGTCCATGTCCAGTGCTGTATGCATGGCTTGCAGCGCATAAGTTAAAATACTCAGTGTGAAATAATAAAATATGTTGAAACATGTAAAATTCGAATTATATTAGAATTTAAAATGCATAATTTCAGTTAGGGTGAGAAACAGCTTTTGGCTTCTCTCCTGAGGCCACAAGAGGGTGCATCGAGCAAAATATTACTAATGCACGTTTATTCAAAGCAATAAAATAACACGACTATCTGTGAAAAAAGTGCATAATGTTTAAAATAATGTTTATAAACCAATTATAATGAATTAAGTTGCTTAAACAACTATAAACAAAACAGCATCATGTATGTATGCATAGTTTAATACAAAGCGCCGAAAGCCAATCACAGAGTACTTTTTTATATTTTTAATAGAAGTCGACCGATATGGGTTTTTCTCTGGCCGATGTCGATATTTAGAAATCAGGGCAGCTGATGGCCGATATATGATGCCGATTTTTTTTGCCAATATGTTTGGCCGATTTTCCCCCTTCATTTCATAGAAGAGATCCGCTTTCCCGCAGGATCGATAAAATGATATCAGCTGCGCTTTCTCTCTCTCCTCTCTGACAGCGAGCTCACGTCACACACACACCGCAGTCCTACATACTCCGCCCACACGCTGTTCTGATTGGCTGTGATTTTTGATTGATTTTGTGGCATCTTGTAACTCTGTCACGTCCAGTGTTGACAGACAGATTGCTCGTTGCATCGTGTATAGATGTCAAGTGTACCCATAGTTCTCTCAGGGCTGGCTGATGGCCAGGGGATGGCATGAAAGACCCTCGGTTGCTGACAGAGCATTTCTTTTTTGCGTTTCCCTTTTGCTTCAAAGGGCAAATACAGAAATTATGTAAAAGTTGTAAAAAACTGCTCGGTTGCAGAATCACATCTGTGCTTCTGAAATTATTATCTTTTTCTATATAGTGTAGTAGTTAGCTATCTCTGTGTCGTACGTGGCCACTTGTCAAGCATGAAAAACACAAGTTTTATTTAAATTTATTTAAATAGCCGTTGTTCACTGACAAGTTGCGCAAAACCACGATCATATTTTGCGCAGCTTGTCGGTGAACAACGGCTCTGTGTAGTGAATGCTGCTCCACCTGAAAGCACGCACGTTTAGAGATTTACCGCTGATTACAGAACCGGCTTTACTGACGAGATGCGCATTAAATATCGTGCGATATTTATCGTGCAGCCCTGTCTAGACGTTAATAAAACACAATCTAATAGGTAGAAAATTCAATTTATTGTTTTTCCGGTTTTTGCTGAGATTCTCCGGTATGGCGTTCTGCAACAACGCTTAGCTGCCCGCAGATGCACCTGCCTATAAATAGGCCTAATTTGCAGCACAATCGGCCCATGCCGATAAATTAAAAAATGGCAAATATCGGCCTGATTAATCGGCCAGCCGATCAATCAGTCGACCTCTAATTTTTAATACGCAATATTTTTAATGAACAACACAGCAGTGCTGCATCTAGTGGCTTCAACTGGACAGGATAACAAATACATTATAATGACGATGTAAGTGTCATTGCATTATAATGTATTTGTTATCCTGTCCAGTTGAAGCCACAAGATCTCGTGCTCCACTGATAAGGCTGCCTCCTTAATGCACACCTAAAATTCGAATGCAACATTTTTGCATTCAAATGTGGATTTTTATTTTAAATTCGACAAGTATTCGAAATTAAACATTTTTTTGACAGCACTAGTTTTTTTTAATTTTATTTTTTAAGACATGTGGCCAAGTATGGTGACCCATACTCGGAATTAGTGCTCTGCATTTATCCCATCCAAAGTGCACACACACAGCAGTGAACACACACACACACCGTGAACACACACCCGGAGCAGTGGGCAGCCATTTTTTGCTGCGGCGCCCGGGGAGCAGTTGGGGGTTCGGGGCCTTGCTCAAGGGTACCTCAGTCGTGGTATTGAAAGGTGGGAGAGAACATTCTCTCCCCCCACCTACAATCCCTGCCGGTACGAGACTCGAACCCGCAACCTTTGGGTTACGAGTCCGACTCTCTAACCATTAGGCCACGACTTCCCCACGTTTGGTTCAAGGCTTAAAACTTTTTAATGAAGA